GAGCTAGAAGAAGGGTAATAGAGGTAGAGATGCAAGATACAAATCCTGCATGGTCTTAAGGAAGCTCAACAGTTTCCATAATATTTTTTTTTAGCCACTTTTGCACGTGTTTCAATTTCAAATAGAACTTAAATACTGAGAAAATCTAAATCATGATTAAATAAGCAGCATAGACACATTTTAAATGCATAGCCAATTAATGAATTTAGACACTGTGTGTGTGTGTGTGTGTGTGTGTGTGTGTGTGCATGTGTGTGTGTATGCACATGCCCATGTGCAGGTGTGTGGAGACCAGATGAGGACACTGGAAGCCCTCAATCACTCTGTGCCTTATTGATTTGACTCAGAGTCTCTCCCTGAACCTAGAGCTGAGCAAGCTTCAGGAATGTCCTGTGGATCTTTCCTCCAGCTCTTGGGGGTTAGAGCAACCATCAGACCTCACCAAGCTTGTTATTTGGGTCCTGGAGATCCAAACTCAGGTCTTCGTGGACGCATGGCAATAGCTCTTAACCATTGGGCCATCTCTCCAGCCACTCATGTACTGACATTCAAAACAGTAATGTTTTAACTAGAAAACTTGAGTTTTAACAAAAGTTTAAGAAATTTTTACAAAACTTGTTGTGCCTGGTAATAGTTGGTTAACCTTTCATTAAGGATCTTAGCTTCACTTGGTACAGCCCATTCTCAATGTATAACCTTACATATGGGCACAAAACAGTCTTCTGAAAATCATAGCTTACCATCAACAAGCTGGCAGTGGGAATAATTAGAAGTATGATGTGATAACCCTTAAATAGTACAATAGCCAGAGGAACTTATGTGACACCAAATAGAAACAGATTCTAACGATGGTAAGGACTTAGAGTTTAGCTCAGAATTCAAGTGTAGAGGAGGGCTTTGTGAGTGATCCAACCCTTGTCTTGGGCCTCAGTTTCCCAACTTAGGGCATTGATGCTTTGTTCAGTGCCCAGCAGACCTGGCTATGACCTGAAGGGTGCTTACTGCAGAATAAAACTAAGAGCAATGCTTTTCCTGCCCACACTTCACTTTGATGAGGATGGCTGAAGCAAATGACTGTGCCTAAATTCAGCTGTGTTTTACAATCTTTTGCATGCCTTCCTTTAATTCAGTTTTATCAGATTTCTATAGCCTCTGTAGTAAAAGAATCTGACTGACATCCTTTTCAATACATCCTTGAAATCCATGCCTCAAGCCCTAAAGCATTTCCCTAAGAGAATGAAACATTGTTCTCCTGGATTAGACAATGCTACCACACTAGGAAGGCTACTACAAAAGCTTTTGGGTATCTGCAACATAATTCACTTTTCAAAGGGGGTGAACTCTTGAAAACAATATTCCTGGGAAAACGACATTGGCTTCCTTCCTCCCAAGATCCTCCAGAATAATAGGCTATGATGAGGCATCGATTGAGAAGTCTGAGTTCTCTTGAGAAAAGAACTTTTAAAAACTTCAAACCACATGAATTGAAGACTTTGCACAGACAAGTTCTTGCAAATTACCATGCTATCTAAAAATAATTGCTAAATGTAGCCACACATTAGCCATTGAGCCTTCGGCTATTACATGTTTGTAAAGTTTTTCTAAAATTACCCTCCCTGCCAACACACACACACACACACACACACACACACACACACACACCATTTGAAAAGTAAGTAAGGCCACAAGTGGAAAACGGGAAAGGGGAGGTGGTGTTTGTCTCTCTCTGTTTTGCTGTACTGGGGGATGGACCCAGAGCCACCTATGCGCCGGCTTGAGCCATGCCACAGAGCTACAGCCTGGGTGGAAACTCTTAAATGCTGCCAATGTGAGCCCAGATGTTCTTTTCCCGGGGGATTTATTTTTATGAAGTTCTCTGGAATACTGAGCACTCTGGGGCCACTTGCAACAGTGAGGAGTATATTTGAAAGGCCAATGAAACTGGTAAACTCTAAACTAGCATATTCATTTATTTAGGGCAGAACAGCAGCATAGGAAAGAATAATAAAAAGACTCTGTCCGTCTTCCAAACCAGGTATCTACCTTACCAGTGCTTCTGATTGGGGTGTCATTTGAGTTAACACGATTCTCTCCCTTGGGGTGTGAATACCCCATAGGATGGTTCAATCTACACAAACTGTGTCTTCCTGGGCACGGTTCTAATACAACATTAATCTCAGAACCATCTAGATTCTTGCTAAATATTTGGAGGGAGAAAATAAAATGGCCAAGTGGTCTACCTTTCAACATTTGCTTCCACTTTGAGTTCACTTGTCTCCATTGGAAAGATTATTCCTATTCTAGCATCTGAAGCCTGACTGCTGAGTCCAATTACTGCTGAGGCAACTGGCCCCACTCTGGAGTTTCACCAGGGTTCTCATGTCTAGGTCCCATCTTCTTTCTTAGAGCCCACATCACTGCCCAGATATATTTTACCAGTATTGCCCTCACATCTCCAGACTTAGGTAGAGGCTGCTTACATATAATCATTGATGAATTGTTTGGAACTGATTTATTTTTAAAAAGAAAGCAGAATATGAGTGAATGTAATTAGTATTGCCATTGAGATAAAAGCCATAACAGTTACATAGAAAAGTCAGAACTGACCATCCTTTACCATTTAAAAATATGCTTGAAGTCTAATTTGCTCTCCGGGTTACCCGGTATGTTGAAAGGAGCTGTTTGGATCCTGGCTCAGGGTCTTTGGGAACAAAGGGGACTCTGGAGAGACACAGTGTACACAGGATTGATGTTAACTAGAGGCAGGGACCAGACCCATAACCTCTTTGGTTGAGTGCAGATTTTGAGGTAACCATGCAGGTAAGAGTGGGGTATGAACTTCCCATTCGATTAGTGTGGAAAGCAGGCAGCCAGGAATAATAATAATAATAATAATAATAATAATAATAATAGCTGATTTAGTAGTCACATCCTTATTTGTTTCGTTGAAAAAATGTTTCTTTTTGTAAATAAACTATTGTAATAAAAATAATTTTAAGAAACTTGTCTTAGATATCAAATCTTTATTGGTAGACTTGTCATTCAACAAGTAAAACAAGTATTCATTTTAAGCTGGTAGGTTAGGTAACACTTGGAAAAATATGGCTAGTTTATCAAGCAGCAAAATGCAGTATTCTATAATGGTATTTAAAAACTGGTAAATATTTTAAAATTAAAACTAACCTTATTTACGATTATAATTAGATATCTTGCATTTAAGTCATTGTTTTTTTTAAATTAGAATAACTGCATTATTTTAGTGTATTGTGAACTCAGCTAAAATATTTTACCAATATACCATACCACTTAAATGAGTTACAAGATAACACTCTCCACCATGATTGGCCCACTATGTTTTTAAAAGCCATTCCCAATGTCATTAATACAAGGAAGGCACTGGTATTGTACTTGCCTCAAAACAAACCATGAAACAGTGGAAGGAGAATTCTTGTAGCTCTAGAATAAAGCATTACTTTCTGAGTGCTCACATGTTTCTTTGTTGCCGGATACAGGGAGAAAAATGATTGGGGGAAATCCATCTTAGAATCAAGGTTTTAAAAAACAAACAAACAAAAAAACATTGTAGGATTCACTTGGTAGGTTACTGCCTTTCCTTCCTAGTGGAAGTGTGGCTTAGTTTTTTGACACAAGCTAGGGTCTTCTGGAAGAGGGAACCATAATGGAGAGCCTTCCTGTGGGCAAGACTGTAGAGCATTTGCTTAATCAGTGATTGCTGTGGGAGGGCCCTGCCCATTGTGGGTGGTGCCACTCTTGGACAGGTGGTCCTGGCTTACACAGCAAAGCAGGCTGAGCAAGCCAGTAAGTATGATTCCTCTGTGGTCTTTGCTTCAGTTCCAGGCTTCAGGTTTGTGCCTTGAGTTCTTGCCCTGGGTTACCTCAATGAAGGACCATGATCCATAAAATAAAGTCAACCCTTTCCTTTTGCTGCTTTTGGTCACAGTGTTTATCACAGCAATAGAAAGTAAGACAAGTGTCATAGTGGGGGCCTAATGACAAGAGGATGCACACACAGTCCTTTAGTCTTGGCAAAAGGAGACCTCAGCTCTGTTTTGACTTACTCTTGCATCCCGAGTATAATACATCTTGAAATGCCAAGGCAATAATCTGCCCACTTTTGTATTCACAGAGTTCCCAGCCTACAGTGAGCTGAGAAATGCTTGCCACATAAATGTTAAGTGAATGAATGCAACTTCTAGATTGATTTTATTCATTCTGAAAACCAAATAAAAGCTCTAAGTTTGCCTGTCATGGTGACCCAGTGTGAATGGTTCCCCCCACACACACACTGGGCTTGTGGAGCCAGAAACGTCTGAATCATGTCGTTGGATGGTCCCAAGTCTTAGCCAATAGATAAGAAATGTCATCAGCTTAACCCAGTAGCTTTCAAAAATAGCATAGTTAAAGTGGACACGTAGGTGTGTGCTAGAAAGAAACCATTTGCCTGTGGTCTTAAGAATAGGCTGGTAGATGTTTTGCTGAGAGATCTAAAACCTGCCTTGAGACCCTTTGTGAGCAAGCAAAGAGATACTCAGAAATCTCTGAGTATCTCTTGTCAATGTGCCATAGCATCTTACGTTCTACTGATCAGGTAAACCCTTTTGAAAACTTCAGAGTTGCAGCAAGGTACTGTGTTCCTTTAAGATTCAGTCAAGGGTGTGTGTGTGTGTGTGTGTGTGTGTGTGTGTGTGTGTGTGTGTGTTTTCAATAGCACTGGCAGTTTCCCTCAAAATTTCAATGAATATTTGCACAATGAACCAAGTTGTTGTGGATTTCCTGGTTTGTGTTGGTTTTCCCCCCCAGGGTGGGGGTGGTGATTTGGGCAAGGCATTTTCATCCCTTCGCAGACAAGTCCAGCTGCTGGTAATGCTGAAAATAGCTCAAATGCTCTCAGGCCCGGAGCACCACCCAGCAGCTGAGGTTCTTTGCCTCCCTCATTTGCTTTCTCTCCTGACCCCCGATCCCCCTTTTCCTCCCTGCAGACATTTGGATTGGACTTAATCTTAAACCTCTGGAGGTCAAGACCTTTTAAAAAGGGCTAAACAAACAATCTCTACACGGAAAGGGCCGCTGAGTCCTGCTTCCTGTGTTGGAGCAACTGTGAAGTTCAGCCTCTTCAAGGTAAGGTTTTTTTGTTTTGTTTTTGTTTTTGTTTTTGTTTTCTGGTGTGGTCATGACTAGTATCTCCAAGAGAACTTTTTAGCAAATATAGGAGGAGGCGGAGGGATTCACAGGTAGACACAGTGTTTTGGGATGTAGCAGCAGCATCCTGCATTTTTTGTGAGTGTAATTGTAAACTTTGCCTAAAGCCCTCTGTCTCCAGCTGCCCACACAGACCCGCCTGTTGCCTGTTCCTGAGTGCTACCTCAGAAGTGAGAGGACCTGTAGACACCACCATTTCGTTGTTTAGACTGCTCTTTTATTTAATTCCCAATGGCTTTCTTTAAACAAGATGCAGCCCACCTGAGTAAAGACGGTGTATTAGTTATTGTCGTTGATGCATGGCAAGGTGGCTATATTATAGTATGCTCTCCTCTTAACCGTTTTATTTACGGCTGGTGTGGAATGAGAAGTTGTTTGGGGGAGTGGATTATTATCATCATCATTATTATTGTTGTTGGATTTTAGATTCCTAGTACACTTTGGGGTGGCTGATTTTGAGAACCCTTCCCCAAGCTGAAATTTAGCTAAGCTAACTCTCTCATGAAGTAGATTTTTCTGACTGGTCTTTCTTGGACAGTAAATATTTTTTGGGATAGTAGTCTGGCTCTTCCCCTCCCCCTCCCCCTTATGCTTGCACTTGACATTTTGCAAAGCACTTTGATCTGTGGACTTTAACCTCAAGCACACCATTTACTTTGATTGTGAGTGTTTACTGTGTTCAGTAAAAAGGCTTTCTTTCCCCTTAATGCTTTGATAGCTATTCCTTCAGATAATTTGCTGGCTTAGCTTTCTGCTGCTGCTATGATTTAGATTTTATTTCTGAAGGAACCTGCAATTTAAAGAATAATGTGCCCCTGCAGAGATCTCTCATCACACTGACTATCTAATACAGCAGTTCTCAACCTTCCTAATGCGACCCTTTAACACAGTTCCTCATGTTGTGCTGACCCCCTCAACCATCAAATTATTTCCCTTGCTACTTCATAACTGTAATTTTGCTACTGCTATGAAATGTAAATATCTGTGTTTTCCAATGGTCTTAGGCCTCCTCTGGGGGTCGTGACCCACAGTTTGAGAACCACTATTCTAACAATTCACAGCTCAGGCTGTCTAGAAAACAGTAGCAAAGAGTTCATAGAACCAATTCTGTCAAGCCCTACTGGAGTCTCCTGCTTCCCCCAAATTACCATGTGCCTTGAGGCCTAATTGTTGCTTTTTAAAACATGAGCACTGAACTCCTTGGCATTTCAAGATGCTTTTTACCAAAAGACTTTTGTATAAAAACAAAAACAGAAAAACATGTATTGAAATGGCCTAGTGATCTTTTGAGTAACAAAAAGTGTAAGACAAATAAAAAGGCAGAAGGAAAGAAAAAGAAAAAAGAAAAGTAAAATAAATTAAAAAAGAAAAAGAAAATCTTCAGCAGCCAAAAGTTTTAGTGAAACTTCTTTGATGTATAGGATGAAGAATTTAATGAAAACAAACAAAAAGTGCTTCCTAAAAGGGGTGGAATCTTAACCCTTTTACTAAACATTAATCAGTTTTAAATATTGTCTTTACTTTCCAAACCTCATGCACATCATTGTGTTTTCTTCCTGCTCTTTTAAAGCATTGAATGTTCTCAAAGCCTCCTGTTAGCTACTGTTCTAGATACCCCTGGTTTATATTGTCCCTGCTCTTTTGGAGGCTAGGAGCCTAATCCAGTCAGGAAGAGGCTGGCCATCAGGTCTCAGACTGTGACTCTACAGGCCTGACACAGTCTGCTCTGTGACCCTTGTAAAGAGAGGAAGCCAATGGCCAACACTCAGGACTTGAAGGAGGTAAAAGGAGGGAGAATGTTTCAGGAATGTTCCTCCTCAAGTAGAAGTACATGGAGTTCTCTTCTCCAGTGTGTGGATTATAGTAAGAAAACCTGGAAAAGGGTCAGCATCATTGCCTTGCAATTTGGCCTCTTGGAATCCACACTATAATGAATACATCAATCATCTGATTTCTGTGAACGGTCAACTTGTGAGTCCCTGTTACTTTTAGGGAGAGCCTTGCTGTTTCCAAGGATCTCTGAGGATCAGGGATGGTCCCTTTTAGCAGTGGGAAGGCTTGGTGAGCAATGCCAGGTACAGATGTGTTCCTAGAGCCAGGAACAGCGCTGTTAGTGCAGATGCAAAATCAGAGACATAAGGAAGAAAGTCAGTTTTCAAGATGGTACACTGTGATCTCATCCTGGTGAGTCATGCAATGTCCTGTTTGCCCTTCTTCCTTGTGCCCCTCTGTTTTATTTTACTTTGAAGCATTGGACCATTCGAATGGTGAAACTCTAGGAGATACCTAACTGAAGCCACTGAGTTTCACATAGGCTCACACAGTGTTCTACCCACCCTTGCTCGAAACTCAGCCTATGTTTGCCAAAAGTTTCATGAGTGTCAGCAAGCTGGCTTGGAAACCTAATCCGAAGCCAGGTGACTCCTGGTGACTTAGAGGCTTTGTTATGTGGGTACAGAAGCTGTCAAACAAGGACACTTCTTATTTCCATGACTTCTACTGTACTTTCATGTGTATACACATTTCTTTCTATATATCCTATGACTATTTCAGGACAAGTTGAAGTCTAATATGAATTTCTGTAGCTGTGGTACTTAAGCATTGGCACATAGCAGCCTGCATTTTAAATACCAGCTCAGTTTGAATCACAGTGGTGTGAACATGCTGGTATAATTCATTCAGCTAAAGGAAGGAAGTCCCAAGAGAGCTATGGAATGTCTTTCTTTGCTTAAATATACCTCTGTGCTTGTGAAGAACAAACAGTAACATTTTGTCCAGGTCTGTCCTCTTGACAGTGTGCCCTTTGTTCACTTTCCAAAGGTGGTGTCAAATATATTGGTGGAAAAATAATAAACTTCCCCCAGATTTTTTTCCCTGCCTGCTCAATTGATACACTCCTAGGGAACATTGAGAGCACTGAAACGTTTGCTACTCTTGCTTGTAATGTAAACTGAGAATAAATGAATAGTCAGTGAAGTCAGCTTCTTTCAGAAAGGCGTGCTGACCCCAATCCACTGTGTATGTGAACAGACCTGGTTGTAAAAGTGTGTGTGTGTGTGTGTGTAGAGAGAGAGAGAGAGAGAGAGAGAGAGAGAGAGAGGAGAGGAGGGGAGAGGGAGACAAATAGTGTGTATGTGTTTGAGTGTAAGTGTGATGACTGAGTCTGTGTGTGTGTGTGTGTGTGTGTGTGTGTGTGTATGCAAGCTCAAGTGCGCGCACACGCACACGCATGGGGATACTGGAGGGAGGAGAGAGGAGAGTGGGTTTGCAAGCTTCTTTCAGCAAATCTGTGACCTCAGAAACAAAAGTGATCAAGCCCTGGATCTGAAAACATTCCTTTGTTGATCATATTAATTTTGTTGGCTGAATGTCAAAATATTTTTGGTATTATTTCTCTCATTAAAAGAAACAAGCATTAGGATTCCAGGCATAGTAAATAATCTCCAACAAAAATAGGACCACTTTGTAGAGCCACATACTTGTAGAACTTCCATGGGTTAGTCTTAGAAAAGTCATCATGATTATGAGGCCATCATAAAATGAAAAGTCTTCCAGAAAACTAAGATTCAACTTGACATTTTGTTAATTGGACAGTGTGTGACCCCGTCTGCAGACATTTCAGAGAAACTAACTGGTGACCTCAATAAAGATTTAGTTTGACTAAATTTACTGACATTTATTAACACAGACTCATTATCAAATTAAATTCCAGAAAATTTGTTTTTGGAAACTTTAAAGTCAGTTTTAAGTTTAATCAAGTGTACTTTTATTAAGGATAAAGTTTATATCTTGAAGATGACTTTCAAAGTTTAGCTCTGGCGTCACTCTTCTGGCTATAAGATTTATGGACATATAAGAATTGAATAGTCCCAAATTAGCAAAATGAGAAGAAGGTGCTCAAATCCAGGTCCTAGAGAAAATGACGCAAAACAATCAGAATCATCTTACTAAATGCACCCTTGCACAGGAGTTTAATCTTTCAGGCAGGTCCATCATCCAGAATGTTCATATGGAAAAGAGCAAAGATACCACACCAAAAATAAATGCCAAGCTTATGTATATGCACATGCTTCTCCAGATCATTAAATAGCTTTTTCACAAATGATTTCAGTTGTCATTTAAGAATGCATATATCTCCTAGTTGAAAATCATTTTGTGCTTAATTAACTACCAGAAAGAAATGAGCCATTTCATACTTATATATTTCATAAGGATATATTACAATAGCCTAAATTTATATAAAATACTTCTTTTCTTAAGCAAAAAGCAAAACAATATTGTGGTTCAGATCAGGTCAAGATCAGTGAGTCCTTCCCAAGAGATCAAAGAGGATTATTCGCATAGCACAAGCAATACACTCATCGTCACAAAAGTCATCAATTTCAACCAAAAAAGAATATTTGAAATAACAAATTTTGAAATAGGACACAGTGCAGAGGCTAAGCGTGTAAGTCAATGATAGAACATCTGCCAAGTATACATGCTACTCTGAGTTGAGTTTGATCCTCAGGACCATCACAGGAAGAGGAAGGGGAAGAGGAAGAATGGAAGGGGAGAAGAGGAATTAAAAACTACTTTAATCATTAAATACCCATAGCCCACAGTCATCATAGAGTCTGCAGTCTCCCTAAGACAGTCTTTCACACTGATGTGCACATTCCTTGTTGAAATGCAGGGAGTACTATAAGGATATACTAGGTTTTCTCATTGCCACTCTCATTCCTGGACTTTCTCCTGATGAATCGTGGAGTGAGAGATAGAAATAAACCTCTGAATCAGTACTATACACACTGGAACATGTGGGCCAGCTGATCTACCACCTAGGGTTAAGAATAGAAAGGACAGGGCTGGAGGAGAAAGCAGACTGCATCCTCCCAGGAACTTGGCAGAGAACTCCCCTGAGTCTCCAGGTCCCATTA